GCTGGGATTTTGATAGAATTCCAGGAATTTCGATAGAATTTTGAGGGAATTTCAGGAATTTTGACAGAATTTCTGGAATTCCAACGCTCTCCCTCAAACCCCAACCACCCCACCCACACTTCCAGCACCCAGACACCATTTTAGGATCCCCCCCAAGCAGAATTTTTTTTATTTTTTTTTTTTTTTTGGGGGGGGTGTGGGAGGTGCTCACCTTGCCGTCGTGGCTCTCGTGGAAGCTGTCCACCCTCGCCGCCAGCGTGCACTTGGCCGCCACCAACCGCGCCGCCTTCCGCCGCAAATCCTGCGCACACCCCGCCACCCGTGGGTGGGATTCAGAGATGGAAAACCCCCCCAATTTGGGGTCCCTGTGGGGTTTTTTTTTTGGGGGGTCTCACCGGGGGCAGGGACTGCACGATGTCGCTGTGGTAGATGAAGCCGGTGTGGGGCAGGACGGACGTGGAGGAGAAGCCCGAGAGCGTTCGGCGCTGGGCGCCCAGCAGGAGGATGTTACAGGCCGGCAGCTTGGAGAGAGGGGTGAGGCCTCCTGCCACGCCTGAAAGAGCCCCAAAAACAGCCCTGAAACGGCCCTGAAATAGCCCTGAAATGGCCCAAAAATATCCTAAAAAATATCCCTGAAACGGCCCTGAAATAGCCCAAAAAATATCCCAGAAATAGCCCTGAAATAGCCCTGAAATGGCCCAAAAATATCCCTGAAACAGCCCTGAAATAGCCCAAAAAATATCCCAGAAATAGCCTAAAAAATAGCCTTGAAATAGCCCAAAACCAGCCCTGAAACAGCACAAAAATGGCCCCAAAAACAGCCCTGAAACAGCACTGAAATAGCCCAAAAAATATCCCTGAAATAGCCCTGAAATAGCCCAAAAAACAGCACAAAAATGGCCCCAAAAATATCCCTGAAACGGCCCTGAAATATCCTAAAAAATATCCCTGAAACAGGCCTGGACTTGACCTCATTTCCTCCCAAAAATCTCATTTTTTTTCCCCATAATTTCATTTTTTTTCCCCAAAAAATCTCATTTTTTTTCCCCAAAAATCTGATTTTTTTTCCGCAAAAAATCTCATATTTTTCCTCCAAAAATCTCATTTTTTCCCCAAAAATTTCATTTTTTTTCCCCAAAAAATCTCAAAATTTTCCCCAAAAAACTCAATTTTTCTCCAAAAAAACCTCAATTTTTTCCCCAAAAAAATTCAATTTTTTCCCCGAAAAATCTGATTTTTTCCCCAAAAAATCTCAATTTTTTCCCGAAAAATCCGATTTTTTCCCCATAACTTAATTCTTTTTTTATTTTAAATATTTTCCCATCCTCACCCATGATTTTGGCAGCCGTGGAGGCGCCGAGGATGAGGGAGAGGTTGGGGGCGATCAGCGACATCCTGGACTCCCCCTCAT